TGTGGATAGCACATTTACATTTTTTAACCAAAATTTCAGTTTTTTTCTTCATTCTCTTCTCTTCTCTTGCACTACTATTTCTTGTTGGTTTTGTTGGGATAGAAATAGAAACTAACTCGACTTCCGTTTTAAATGCTTGAATGCAAGTGAATTGTACAGCATAACTTCCGGACTTAAAGTATGGCATACTATAACGGATGTGTATAAATGATGCGTCAATATCCGTTACCACCGTTGATTAGTAGCTGAACTGAAGCACCAGTTTATACATAAACTACAAATTTGATATTTTAAAATTCTTTTTAAACATAACATGACAAAAGTTAGCAAGTTCCTGCAAAAAAGGTGTACAGCTAAGTTGTAAAATTTATTTATAAAGCAACAAAGTAAAAAAAATCATATTGAATCTAATTTAAAATCTTTGATTAAGAAAGTTTACCACCAAAGGAACCACACAGCAGCGCTCATAACTCATATTCAAGTTCATCGAAAACATTATTCATCATGGTCAGTCGTGCAATTTGGCTTGTACCAATTTTACTGCTTGTGAAAAGTGCCTGAAATTGTAGCTGACATCATTTATATTGGAAAATAATGAAATTCCCCAAACGTGACAACTAAGAATATTTACTATTTTACGACCAATAACAAAATAAACAGTATCAACAGCAACCAGCAGCCAACAAGGACACTAATAAGAGAGTATCTAGCTGGCAAAACAATAAGAAAAACGCACTAAAATCATACATAAAAATATGTATCTTCAGCATAATCGATCAAATTGATGTATGCAACTTTGTTGGAATATTTACTATGTCAGGCAGCGAAGTGGCACAATGCGAGATTTAGTCACAGCCCAACTAACTGAAACGTTATCAGCACAAATGCCTTCAAACCACAAATCGAAAAGGCACAAATTTACGCTTGGAGCACTGCATCGGAGAGCATTGGCAATTTTTTCATTTTTCTTTTTTTGGCAAAATATGTTTCGCATTAGCAAGGCAACGTATTGGGAACATTGAAGTCAACTCCACTTCGATGTAGCAGTGTACAATGTTTAAGTTGACACCGACTCATATTGCGGCTTAATAA